TCCCACATTAAACTGGCACGCCGTGATATAACTGGAATACTATTAAGTATAATATAAAGGAGCCAAGAGACGTTCTTCATATTCAGATACTGCGGTAATCTAGTCTTTTCAAATATTATAGACCTGCGAGGGCTGTATTGGGTATATTTGGTTTAGAGTCTGTATGTTACATTTGTATATTTAGAAATGTACCTGGGGTATATTTCTCTGCGATATTAGCAGTATTATCAGTTTTGAAACCTCATCAATACCTTGATCCGTTAATCGAGAGTTTGAATCCTTTTTTCGCAACAATTGTTCGTGTTACCAAAGTCAAACCGTCAAAAACGTCAAACACGTCAAAGAGCGTCGTTATTCTGGGCTTTGTTCCCACTTTAGGTTCAAACATCATATAACAAGTGAAATAGTATTCACTCAACATTAATTCAAGCCACTTTCTCATTCCTTAACCGGAATCAAGCTCCACCAGGCGTTGTGCTGCCAACACAAAGAATCGGATATCGGAATAAGATATATGATTGAAGATGGTTTGCGGCAGTCTTAGCAACGCCGCAGCCATTTCGCGGATGAAGATTCCAAGAGCACGCGCCGTACCCAAAAAGTTGTTATGTTTGGAATGCATCTCTATTTAGGCCATCAGCGCGAAATGAATTAGGCCAGTACATGCTACTTTAAGACTCGTCAATTTGAAATGCGAGGACTAGATTCATTGGCGGATATGAATGAATCATGTTCCTTTGTGGCCACTCGCTGCTTTGTGCAGTGATTACAACACTGACCGGCCTGTGACACCGTGCCCTGGGGTGAAGGAAGACAGGTCGGTCTCTGTCACCGTGCCCTGGGGTGAAGGAAGACAGGTCGGTCTCTGTCACCGTGCCCTGGGGTGAAGGGAGACAGGCCGGTCTCTGTCACCGTGCACTGGGGTGAAGGAAGACAGGCCGGTCTCTGTCACCGTGCACTGGGGTGAAGGAAGACAGGTCGGTCTCTGTCACCGTGCACTGGGGTGAAGGAAGACAGGTCGGTCTCTGTCATCGTGCACTGGGGTGAAGGAAGACAGGTCGGTCTCTGTCACCGTGCCCTGGGGTGAAGGGAGACAGGCCGGTCTCTGTCACCGTGCACTGGGGTGAAGGAAGACAGGCCGGTCTCTGTCACCGTGCACTGGGGTGAAGGAAGACAGGTCGGTCTCTGTCACCGTGCACTGGGGTGAAGGAAGACAGGTCGGTCTCTGTCACCGTGCACTGGGGTGAAGGAAGACAGGCCGGTCTCTGTCACCGTGCACTGGGGTGAAGGGAGACAGGCCGGTCTCTGTCACCGTGCACTGGGGTGAAGGAAGACAGGTCGGTCTCTGTCACCGTGCACTGGGGTGAAGGAAGACAGGTCGGTCTCTGTCACCGTGCCCTGGGGTGAAGGAAGACGGGTCGGTCTCTGTCACCGTGCACTGGGGTGAAGGGAGACAGGCCGGTCTCTGTCACCGTGCCCTGGGGTGAAGGAAGACAGGTCGGTCTCTGTCACCGTGCACTGGGGTGAAGGAAGACAGGTCGGTCTCTGTCACCGTGCACTGGGGTGAAGGAAGACAGGTCGGTCTCTGTCACCGTGCACTGGGGTGAAGGAAGACAGGTCGGTCTCTGTCACCGTGCACTGGGGTGAAGGAAGACAGGTCGGTCTATGTCACCGTGCACTGGGGTGAAGGAAGACAGGTCGGTCTCTGTCACCGTGCACTGGGGTGAAGGAAGACAGGTCGGTCTCTGTCACCGTGCCCTGGGGTGAAGGAAGACAGGTCGGTCTCTGTCACCGTGCCCTGGGGTGAAGGAAGACAGGTCGGTCTCTGTCACCGTGCACTGGGGTGAAGGAAGACAGGTCGGTCTCTGTCACCGTGCACTGGGGTGAAGGAAGACAGGTCGGTCTCTGTCACCGTGCACTGGGGTGAAGGAAGACAGGTCGGTCTCTGTCACCGTGCCCTGGGGTGAAGGAAGACAGGTCGGCCTGTGACACCGTGCACTGGGTTGAAGGAAGACAGGTCGGTCTCTCTCACCGTGCACTGGGGTGAAGGAAGACAGGTCGGCCTGTGACACCGTGCACTGGGGTGAAGGGAGACAGGTCGGTCTCTGTCACCGTGCACTGGGGTGAAGGAAGACAGGTCGGTCTCTATCACCGTGCACTGGGGTGAAGGAAGACAGGTCGGTCTCTGTCACCGTGCACTGGGGTGAAGGAAGACAGGTCGGTCTCTGTCACCGTGCACTGGGGTGAAGGAAGACAGGTCGGTCTCTGTCACCGTGCCCTGGGGTGAAGGAAGACAGGTCGGCCTGTGACACCGTGCACTGGGTTGAAGGAAGACAGGTCGGTCTCTGTCGCCGTGCACTGGGGTGAAGGAAGACAGGTCGGTCTCTGTCGCCGTGCCCTGGGGTGAAGGAAGACAGGTCGGTCTCTGTCGCCGTGCACTGGGGTGAAGGAAGACAGGTCGGTCTCTGTCACCGTGCACTGGGGTGAAGGAAGACAGGTCGGTCTCTGTCACCGTGCACTGGGGTGAAGGAAGACAGGTCGGCCTGTGACACCGTGCACTGGGGTGAAGGAAGACAGGTCGGTCTCTGTCACCGTGCACTGGGGTGAAGGAAGACAGGTCGGTCTCTGTCACCGTGCACTGGGGTGAAGGAAGACAGGTCGGTCTCTGTCACCGTGCACTGGGGTGAAGGAAGACAGGTCGGTCTCTGTCACCGTGCACTGGGGTGAAGGAAGACAGGTCGGTCTCTGTCACCGTGCACTGGGGTGAAGGAAGACAGGTCGGCCTGTGACACCGTGCACTGGGGTGAAGGAAGACAGGTCGGTCTCTGTCACTAAATCACGGAAGCGCGGGAGAGATGTTAAAGCCTTGTGTCTTGTGTTCTTGGTTTTCGCATCACCGAAAGTTTTGAAAGTGATTCAGTAGTGTCAATGTTCAAGTGATTCAGTAATGTCAATGTTTCAGTGATTCAGTGGTGTCAGTGTTCCAGTGAATCATTTGTGTCAATGTTTCAGTGATTCAGTGATGTCGAATGTTCCAGTGAATCAGTAATGTCAATGTTCCAGTGATTCAGTAATGTCAATGTTCCAGTGAATCAGTGGTGTCAATGTTCCAGTGATTCAGTGGTGTCAATGTTCCAGTGAATCAGTGGTGTCAATGTTTCAGTGAATCAGTGGTGTCAGTGTTCCAGTGATTCAGTGATGTCAGTGTTTCAGTGATTCAGTGATGTGAATGTTCCAGTAAATCAGTAAGGTCAATGTTCCTGTGATTCAGTAATGTCAATGTTCAAGTGATTCAGTAATGCAAATGTTCCTGTGATTCAGTGGTGTCAATGTTTCAGTGATTAAGTAATGTCAATGTTCCAGTGATTCAGTGATGTCAGTGTTTCAGTGTTTCAGTGGTGTCAATGTTCCATTAAATCAGTTATGTCAATGTTCCAGTGATTCAGTTATGTCAATGTTCTAGTGAATCAGTTATGTCAATGTTCCAGTGAGTCAGTGATGTCAATGTTCCAGTGATTGAGTAATGTCAATGTTCCAGTGATTAAGTAATGTCAATGTTCCAGTGATTCAGTGGTGTCAATGTTCCATTAAATCAGTTATGTCAATGTTCCAGTGAATCAGTTATGTCAATGTTCCAGTGATTCAGTTCTGTCAATGTTCCAGTGAATCAGTAATGTCAATGTTCCTGTGATTCAGTAATGTCAATGTTCCAGTGAATCAGTAATGTCAATGTTCCAGTGATTCAGTTATGTCAATGTTCCAGTGATTCAGTGATGTCAATGTTCCAGTGATTCAGTTATGTCAATGTTCCAGTGATTCAGTAATGTCAATGTTCCAGTGATTCAGTGGTGTCAATGTTCCAGTGATTCAGTAATGTCAATGTTCCAGTGATTCAGTGGTGTCAATGTTCCAGTGATTGAGTAATGTCAATGTTCCAGTGAATCAGTGGTGTCAGTGTTCCAGTGATTCAGTGGTGTCAGTGTTCCAATGAATCAGTAATGTCAATGTTCCAGTGATTCAGTTATGTCAATGTTCCAGTGATTGAGTAATGTCAATGTTCCAGTGATTGAGTAATGTCAATGTTCCAGTGATTCAGTAATGTCAATGTTCCAGTAAATCAGTAATGTCAATGTTCCAGTTAATCAGTAATGCCAATGTTCTAGTGATTCAGTAATGTCAATGTTCCAGTGATTAAGTAATGTCAATGTTCCAGTGATTCAGTGGTGTCAATGTTCCATTAAATCAGTTATGTCAATGTTCCAGTGAATCAGTTATGTCAATGTTCCAGTGATTCAGTTCTGTCAATGTTCCAGTGAATCAGTAATGTCAATGTTCCTGTGATTCAGTAATGTCAATGTTCCAGTGAATCAGTAATGTCAATGTTCCAGTGATTCAGTTATGTCAATGTTCCAGTGATTCAGTGATGTCAATGTTCCAGTGATTCAGTTATGTCAATGTTCCAGTGATTCAGTAATGTCAATGTTCCAGTGATTCAGTGGTGTCAATGTTCCAGTGATTCAGTAATGTCAATGTTCCAGTGATTCAGTGGTGTCAATGTTCCAGTGATTGAGTAATGTCAATGTTCCAGTGAATCAGTGGTGTCAGTATTCCAGTGATTCAGTGGTGTCAGTGTTCCAATGAATCAGTAATGTCAATGTTCCAGTGATTCAGTTATGTCAATGTTCCAGTGATTGAGTAATGTCAATGTTCCAGTGAATCAGTGGTGTCAGTATTCCAGTGATTCAGTGGTGTCAGTGTTCCAATGAATCAGTAATGTCAATGTTCCAGTGATTCAGTTATGTCAATGTTCCAGTGATTGAGTAATGTCAATGTTCCAGTGATTGAGTAATGTCAATGTTCCAGTGATTCAGTAATGTCAATGTTCCAGTAAATCAGTAATGTCAATGTTCCAGTTAATCAGTAATGCCAATGTTCTAGTGATTCAGTAATGTCAATGTTCCAGTGATTCAGCTATGTTCCTGTTTTACAATCTTTTGCAGTGACCAGAGTTCACCATGTTTGAGGACGACCCTGAGGACGAACCCTGTGACCTTGTCCCCTTCATAGGTCGAGACGAGGAAAGGGAGGCAATCAAGAAGATGCTCGGTCACTCTACGAGGGCTGTTCAACTTCTTGGACCACCCATGGTTGGGAAAAGCTGTTTGGCAGAAAAGGTACGAAATCTGATGCATCCAGTTTATTCCCTAGTCTCGCCATCTGAAAGGTGCCACGGACCGACTAGTGGTCAACGTACTGCAAAGTTCACTGACTATACCGATATACTACCTCATCCACTCACTTCAGACCCCATCTTCCCGAGGCAAGAGCGTTAACTGACTATAACAGTCCAGTTTCCACCCTTGTCGACTAGGCTGGTATTATGGACTTACATTTTGGCTGGACTAACGAGTCTATGCATAGATTACTTAGTTCGGCGTTGAAAAACATAATTTCAGTTTACAGCTTTAAGTGTTAAGTCTCTTGAATTCTCAGTGTAATTTCACTACCTTAAACATTTTATTCTTGATGTATATTGTGAACGTTTGTATTCATACAGTTCTTTGTTGCTTTATGAAACAATCGTAAAACTAATGTAAATGAATATCTTTCACCTGAGCTGAAACTGTCTAGCTTGTATCGGATTGCAGCGCACTTCTTATATGTAACGTCAGTTTGTTACCCCAAATATAGTGGTAGCCTCGCATCACATGAAACAGTGCTAGAGAGTTGAATTCGCGAACTGCCAACTCTCAACATTTAGGTGAAGTGAAATAGGGTTTAACGTCACGTTCAAGATTATTGCACTTATATAGCGACGAGAATGCACGTGCGTGTGCGTGTGCGTGTGCGTGTGTGTACGTGTGTGTGGCTGCTTGTACTAGTCCGGACTAATGCCCATGCTATAGTGCTATCCCACTGAGATGCAATGCCGCAGTTTGACATGAATACCCCACTCAGACACTGTATACTGACTCCGAGCCGACCAGTCCTTGTTTTAACCTCTTAATGCCGAGTGCCAGACAGGGTAACATCAAGTACCATCTTTTAACGTCTTTCGGCATGACGCGGCCGGTGATCGAACCCCGGACCTTCCGCTCTCCGGGCAGACGTTCTACCACTAGACCACGGAGGCGGTCCCCTTTATTATTAACAGTGGTAAGCAAACCATGTTCCCTTTTCTTATTTAGGACGGATATTTTGCATATGAACCGCTTCCCTCTGGGCAAAACATAGGTACATCAAAACATATGGTAACATTTGTTACCCGTGTGAAAAAATAACCTTTCTTATGTTTCATTCATATCCTGGTTTCGTAACCATGGTTTCACGCACTCTCTGGTGCTTTTTCAGATCTCCCACGAGCTTCAGGACGAGATGGCGGCGAAAGATAAGAAGCTGATGTGCTACCACATGTCCTGTGTGGACGTCATGACCTATGATGACCTCCTCGCGCGTCTCAGTGCTGGCTTGGAACTGCACACAACTGCAACGTCAGACACGTCACTGGTCAACAGCTTCAGAAAGATCGCTACCGATGACCCCAAGTGTTCCCACTTCTTCGTCTTGCTGAAGTGTGAAAGCTTTCACAGAATCGGACTTCACGTACAGTTTCTGGATCTAGTCAAGAAGCTCATGGAGGCTTCAAAACGAGCATTCGCCATCATAACAACCCAGAAAGCTTTCAACTTCCCTCCAGCAAAACAAGTGTCAATCAAACCCCTTTCTCCTCAAGACATGGTGACGTTGGTGAAACGCTGTGCTCCTGACGTTAACGTTGACCCGTACAGGGAAGCCATTGAGAAACACTGCATGGGGTTACCTCCCTTAGCTATGGACGCTGCCCATGAGTTGGTCAAGGCACAGGGGATTCCTCTGTCTCCTCACGAATTTGAAGAGCTCCTCTCCGGGACAAACAGGTCAAAGCGAATCCATTCAACAAATGACGTTTTGAATTCTGCAGCTTTACGTCAGTTCGAAGGCCTTAATGACTTCTTGAAGCAGAGGATATTTGATATTTCAATATTCAAAGGATCCTTCCGTGTGGACCATATCCTGAAACTCCTTGGCAACAACCAAGCCGAAGCCAAAGCTCAGCTCATAGAGATGAGGAACTCCGGGGTCGTGGAGCTGGAAAATGGCGGACAACGAATGCACCTTCAAACCGTTATCAGCCATTACGTCCGGAATATCATGGGGAACCATATCAAATACAGCGACACTGTCCGACTGCAGTTTGTGACATTGTTTCTGGACGTCCTGAAGAAAGCGGACACGGAGTTGTTCGTGAAGCCCCAGCAGACCGTGTTCGGATACCTCCACGATGATTGGCCCAATCTGAGACAGGTCCTGGAGCAAGCAATACACTGCACAGAACACACGTACCCTGCCTTCCTGCAAGTAGGTCTGACTGGCACTAGTTTTTTTCTCCTAAGAATGGCCCGTGAAGATCCGGTTTGTTGTTCAACCAAGTCAGCGAGCCTGACCACCAGATCCCGTTAGATAGATAGATAGATAGATAGATAGATAGATAGATAGATAGATAGATAGATAGATAGATAGATAGATAGATAGATAGATAGATAGATAGATAGATAGATAGATAGATAGATAGATAGATAGATAGATAGATAGATAGATAGATTTTGAAGTTGTCATGTCTATCTGAGACCCGGTAGTGGCAAATCGGTCAGACTCGATTGGTTGGTTGATTTGTTGTTTTACGCCGCACTCAGCAATATTCCAGCTATATGACGGCGGTCTGTAAATAACGAGCCTGGACCAGACAATCCAGTGATTGATATCATGAGCATCGATCCACGCAAATGGGATCGATGACATGCATCAGCCGTGAAGATCCGTGTTAGAGTAGGTCTTCAGCAATCCATGCTTTCTGAACAGGCTACTATGCTTGTCGTCAGAAGTGACTAATGGGATCGGGTTGACTCGGTTGATGCATGTCAGCGTATCCCAATTGCGTAGATCGATGCAATCATATCACTGGATTGTCTGGTCCAGAGGCGACCGGCGTCATACAGCTGGAATATTGCTGAGTGCGGTCTTAAACAACAAACAAACCAAACAAAACTTGATGTTTGTTTGTTTGTGTAACGCTGCACGTACAGTAACAGTGGGTTTGTAAGGGAATGTTGTTGAACGCGGTGTAGCAGGTCTAGTACAGGTTGCCTGTGAAAACCTGTCAAACTGGCATATGAAACCTCGCGCCATTGCCGGATACGAATGCTCTTCAGCTTATACAGGTCAAGGTCACATGTCAAGGTCAAGATCGCTTAATTGCTTAGTTATATAGTGCTTAAAATAAGTTAAGGAACACCCGATGCTTCTGTTATATTATACTTTACCTTTCTTTAAATTCTTTCCAGTAGTAAATATGGCAGTTTTAATGCTGCGGACTTGGAAAACGTAAACTGGGTTGTAGGTCGGTCTTTGTAAGTATATAAAAGTGTGTTTGTTGTTTAACGCCCAATCTCATTAAAATCAGATCTTAGTTCTCGCTATCGCTGAACAAAGATCTGATGACATCCCACGTCAGAACGACCTTTCATCCGATCAATCAAGGCGTCGCTTACCAGATTAGGAAGTGATAGTCGGAATTTGTTTTCTAATCATGGAACCTCGACAATGTTAAGACGGGGTATTCCGAACGATAGTTACGGCCCGTACGGCTGATTCCGTCAAAATTATCGTAAACATTTGAACGGTAGAGGCGTTGCACAGTCCGTGGGAAGCAATGCCATACAATTTCAACCATATATGAGACATTCCGGAATGTTCGTTTATTCAGTTTTCAAAATTTTAAACGAGAACTGTGTCAACATATTTTTCAAGCGTAGTCTGAAATGGAAGTCGCCAGGTTGAAACGATGCCGTAAAGCTCGAGAAAGCTGCTTTCTAATTGGCTAATGTCGACTTCTTGTCAGTCATTTCAGGGGTCGGTCAAAGTTCACGAAAGGTCGTTCTGACGTGACCCGTAATTGGATGTCCTCAGATCTGTGTTAAGCGATAGCGGGACCTAAGATCTGATTTGAATGAGATTGTTTAACGCCGCACTTAACAATATTCCAGCTATATGACGTTGGCGTTTATATAATCGAGTCTTGACATCATGAGCATCGATCCACGCAATTGGGAGTCGGAGTCTGATTCAGGAAACCAGAAAATCCAGTGATTGATATCAAGAGTAACGATCCACCACAAAACCGACCTCGACCACCAATCCATTGAGTCGCCTTTTACGACAAGCATTAAGTGGGGACCATTTTGGACCCGGTACCTCCAATTCTCTATAGTCTCAAGGGCTTGCAAAGCCTTGCATTATTTGGATAAACCTACATTAACCCCTGGACCTATATATATATATACAAGGTTTTCGCGATCTTAAATTGCCTGACCTTTTTGTCCGTTAGCCAATTTGATTAACCACGCTACTGGGTCTAACGTGCCAATCAGGCCATGTCAGGATGCTTTGACAGGAGGTTCGAATCCCAGACACGTTTCGACTGAGCATTTAACTGTCGTCACCACGCCCGTATTTATGGTTTTCGAAAAAACTTTTGCCTCTCCTGCGTCCCTTTCCTTCCACGCTGACGTCGTTACATAGCGGAATTTCTGGGCAAAGCGGCAATAATCACACACCCAACACTCCTTTGACGATCCGGGGTAGAATAAGTACCCAACAAACTGCTGGTCGTAAGAGGCGACTAACGGCATCGGATGGTCAGGCTCGCTGACTTGGTTGGTGCATGTCATCGTATCCCAATTGCGTAGATCGATGCTCGTGATATCAATCACTGGATTGTCTGGTCCAGACTCGATTATTTACAGACTGGAATATTGCTGAGTGCAGCGTTAAATAACAAAGAAACAAACAGGGTCGTGTGTGTGTTTGTTTATGGCTAATACCACAAACTCCATGTACGTACGTTTGCCCTCAGCATACCTCCATGTCAGAATGATGAGATCTGATTGGTCCACGTGATCTTGATAAAATACTGTGTCACCCGCCTTGGATGGTAATAAATTTCTCAGCGGGGTAATAAATCTCTTATACCCCGCCACGAGGACTATAGTCTGCACGTGCATTTTTGAGAGACAGAATAAATCCTTTATACCCCGCTTCAAAGCAAAAAGCCGCACGCTTCTTCCGAGCCAATGTATGTCACGTGACAATCGAGCAGCTGTTTTCTATCAAATAGGGATTTATTTTAATTATTTTACAATGTCATATTAAAACATGTCGGTAAGATTAATTCGTTGTAGGGGCGGTCGGGTAGTCTAGTGGTTAAAGCGTTCGCTCGTCACGCCGAAGACCCGGGTTCGATTCCCGACATGGGTACAATGTGTGAAGCCCATTTCTGGTGTCCCCCGCCGTGATATTGCTGAAATATTGCTAAAAGCGGCGTAAAACCATACTCACTCACTCACTCACTAGTTCGTTGTAGCAAGATTACTCGGGGTACAGGGGTTTAATGCGTCCCTCTGGCTCGTGGTATAAAACCTAACGTTGTCCGCATAAAACCCCATGTACACCTCGTGATCCTGTTACAACTCAAAATGTATTCGATATCATCATTAATCCTTTATGTGTATATACCATATTTGGTATGGTAATTCTAGGTTGCCATGTCAGCCGAGAACCTGCTGGTGAAGTGTTTCCCAGGAGAGGCGGTCCAATTCTACGAAGCCATGATGTGGTCCGCCACAAGATTCGGGAATACAGAAGAATGTGCCACGCAGAAATGGCTGCTTGGCATGGCGAAAACTCTCGGCAAAGGTATCATTGTCAACATGACAATAATCAAGCCTTATCTCCAGTTTGATGAACTGCAGGATCGTAATTATTGCACGTAATTATTTATAGGGAACACGTATGTGCATACATGACGAATAAAAAATGACAAATTACAGACTTTCAGATTACATTTCTATCCAGCCCAAAACCTTGGTTTCCGGTCACGTGATCGTTGGTTGACATTGAAATTTAAGTTAATATTCGAAGTGAAGAACAATCTATTTTGTGATTGGTCCAGAATGGAATTCGCGAATATTGATCAGATAGATCTTGAAACGTTTTGTATGCAGACGAAAGATTTGAAACATTTCTGTGGTAATTCAAGTATCTTGAATAGCATCGAAACATTACGATGCCGATTCGTTCTGAGGTGAAATCTGGTGGTTAAGCGTTCGCTCGTCACCCTGAAAGCCTGGGTTCGATTCCCCGAATGGATACACTGTGTGAAGCCCATTTCTGGTATCCTCAGGCGTGATATTGCTGGAATATTGCTAAAAGCGGCGTAAAACCATACTCATCCACTCACTCAACATGTATCTAAATACTGTCCTTTATCATTATATTAGAACGATTTACTACAATGACAACATTATCCATTCCCCACTTTCCAGTTGGATTAGGTCCCAAGTAACTTGTACTCCGTAGTAACCTATACTTGTACTTGGTAGTGTCATATACTTGTACTTCGTAGAAACCTATACTTGTTCTACGTAGACACCTATACTTGTACTTCGTAGACACCTATACTTGTACTTAGTAGAAACCTGTGCTTGTACTTCGTAGAAACCTATGCTTGTACTTAGTAGAAACCTATACTTGTACTTGGTAGACACCTATACATTTACTTAGTAGAAACCTGTACTTGTACTTCAGAGACACCTATAATAGTAATATCATGTTTATCTACTTACTAGGAACAGACTTAGTGGAGGCGATGGGGCTATTCAAAGAGGCGCTTCCGGTCCTGCGCAGAGGGAACACACCCGAGGCGCTGGTGTCAGTCATGGCGGACATGGGCCTCAACTACTGCCGCCAGGGCAAGAACACCAAGTCGAGAAAGTAAGTCAATATTTGGAGAAGACCATCTTTCCGAGGCAAGGGAGTTAAGTGATTGTAAACGTAAGTTTCCACCCTTGCCGAACGAAGCTGGAACTTTTGGGCTCGATTGTAGCGCCACCAGTTATGTCCTTCTATGTCCCTTCTACTGACCAATCAGATTCCTCGTCTCATATCAATAGCATTTACTTCAAACAAAATGGCGGCGTCCAGTGAAGACGGTCTGATCGATTATCAAAATCTATATTGTCATAAAACGGGTCTTATTGAACGTAGTGCATCAAATCACGTGAGCACCTTGCTTAAAAACTTGAAAAGATTTGGAAAATATCTGTTGACGCTAAGTTGACGGTAAACGTGCCTTGCAAAGCCTGAAATCGACCGCAATCTGCACGGCAGTTTACGAGCCGGATGTTGATTTCGTTTGCGCGATTTTGATTGGACTCGTTAGTCCAGCCGAAACATAACTCCATTATTCTTGCGCGCGCCCTTGTGCGTTTATATAACACTGACCCCTCCCTTTCAGCTTCTATCTGGAGGCATTAGAGGAGTCAGGCCGCTGCCATGACGGACGGAAACTGACCAACAGAATCATCAACGTCAGGTGCTATCTGGCGATACCCATGATATTCCTAGGTAGGTTTATTGGCTTAAATGTCCTGATAATGTCAAGTCATCACATTGGAAGACATTGACCAACTTTGTACAAGATGTTCTTGATTAATTCAATGTGAAAAAATTGTCTCGTATGAATATTACGGATATATTTCATTCAAGATTCTTCAAAGTTCCTGTCAAATTTGTCAATTTCAGCGGGCCCAATATGCTCTTATCATATGTCATACTTTCTCCCAATATCATGATTAATCCAAAGTTATAATGTGATGCAGAACACTATGACGAAGCCGAGACGTTGCTGAAGGAGACTCTAGCGGAGTCGGAGAAGGTGGCGCCTTGTCATCCCTCCATCCCTGTCATGATTAACAGTCTCGGACTCATCTATGAGAGAGGTATGTCTTGGGGCATATTCCCGAGACAAGGGAGGTAACTGACTATAAAAGTCCAGTTTCCACCCTTGCCGAACTAGGCTGGAATTCCGGAGTTACATTTTGGCTGGACTAACGAGTCTATTCATAAGCCAATGAAAATCGTGTTACGAACTTCCGGTTCGTAAAAACATGGATTTCAACGTGCAGATTTCGGTCGACTGCAGAATTTGCAAAGCATGTGTACCGTCACCTGGGCATCGACAGATATTTTCCAAATCTTTTCATCTTTTTAATCAAGGTGCTCAAGTTATTTCATGCACTTCGCGGGGTAAGACCCGTTTTATTACAATATAGATCTTGATTATCGACCCGAAGGTCTTGACTGGGCGCCGCCATTTTCCTCGAAGCAAATGCAAGTGATACGATAGATGGAATCTGATTGGTCAGTAGGAGAGACATAGAAGGGACATAACACATAATAGCCACTGGTGGCGCTACGCTCGAGCCTTCATTTCCAGCCTAGTTCGGCAAGGGTGGAAACTGGATTTTCATAGTCAGTTAACGCCCTTGCCTCGGGAAGATAGTCTTGGGTGAAGGTTAGGGATAGACTAAGGCTTATAGTTGAGGTGGTTCAAGGTTATTGCACTAATAAAGCATGCACGTGTGTGTGGCTACTTGTACTAGCCCATGTTTTTACTGCTCGTCAACTGAGATACCATGTCACTGTTAGCATGGATACCCTACTTAGGGACTGACCACATGATATTCTGTGTGCGTTGAGGGGAAAGTTGGGGACTGGGACTTTGTATCGAGAATCGAGATTGAATTATTTTTTCAGCTGCTACAAAACCAGATATATTTTTATTTAAAACTACGAGCCTGAATTGTTTTAAAGGAAAAACACCTTGTCCAAACAATGTACTTTTTGTGGCAGACAGTTTCTCTTTTTTTCAATAGTCTGAAGCATAATTATTTTTTTCATGAATTTTCAGCGACAATATTTTATCTCAATAAAATCGCTAGCCTCTCTCCACCCCTTCTATAATATCAAATGGTCGGTCCCTTAGACACTTTATACTGACTCCGAGCCAGGTGGGGTATCAGGTACTATATTTTAACGTCTTTTGGTATGACGTAGGGATCGAACCACCGTCTTTTCGCTCTGCCAATCGACGTGCAGAGTTGCGCCACTTTGGCGTTCAAGAATCCTATGATCGTGCGTTCGCCCGTGCTCATCATCCTCTAAAAGTCAAGGGCTTCCATTTCGGTAAACCAAAAGTAATCCCTGGATCCCTTCCCGTGGTTCTCGCAATCTCAAATTACCCGCCCTTGATTTCCATTCGCAAATTTGATTGGCTATGCTACTAGGTCCAACGTACCAATCAGAATCAGTCCATTGGTTATGATCGAGTTTGCGAGAAAATCAACATTACAAAACAGACTGACACGCAAAAGAAAGCGCTCAAAAATCATTTTGATGGATAGGATGTCTTCATGTTCATTAAACCTGGCGGTGGCTTTGATTTTTAGGTAATACGAGTTACCTCCCTTGCCCTTTCCCTCATGTCAATGCTTGATTGGCTGGTAAATGTTTTGTTGTTTTTGTTCATAATTTTTCTTGAGCATTTACACGGTTTTGCATAACAATATATTAACAGAAATAAAGCATGACAGCTTAACCAAAGCTTATTAAAGTAACCTCTTTTACAATTAAGGACGGGCGTATGCTTTGTTAACTTATAAAATTCGGTGAGCTCCTTCTGTATAAATTGAAATGTTGGTGGATAGTTATTATTTTTAAGATTGAAAATGATTCGCTTTGACAAAATAATGATAGGGTTTAAATGATTGTTATTTTCGAAAAATAAGCCAAAAGTATTTTATTTTAGATATTGTTACCGGTTTTTGCGTTTTGTGCGATATCCATAATTTCCATGTCTCGCCAGATCTTCTGCTTCATTAGAACAGTAGCTGTAACTTGTACTGACTACGTACCCCATTTTATTAAGAAGACATTTTGTTGGCAATATATGATGTACAATTTGAAACTGGAACCATTGTAGTTTAGTCACGTTCGTGCAACTAAACGGGATAGAATTGATAGTAGTCTTCCTGTCTTTGTTCCTCAACATCCTATTCCCACTCCAAGTCCTATTCCCATTTAGAGGACCGCCTCCGTGGTCTAGTGGTAGAGCGTCCGCCCGGAGAGCGGAAGGTCCAGGGTTCGATCCCGGGCCGCGTCATACAAAAAGACGTTTAAAGATTGTATTTGTTGTTACCCTGTCTGGCGCTCGGCATTAAGGGGTTAAAACAAGGACTGGTCGGCTCGGAGTCAGTATACTGTGTCTGAGTGGGGTATTCATGTTAAACTGCGGCATGGTATCTCAGTGAGCTAGCACTATAAATCGGCATCAGTCCGGACTAGTACAAGCAGCCACACACACACATACACGTGCATGCACGTCGCTATATAAGTGCAATAATCTTGGACGCGACGTTAAACCCAATTTCACCTCACCTATTCCCATTTAGCAAAATGATTACTAGTATTTCTCTCACATATATTTTTAATAGGTATTTTATAGAAATGGTGTGAAACTTTTGTTTGTTCAGCTGATATATATGAAATGGTAAAAAGGGAGATTGTAGGATAATGGCAATTTTTGGTAATAGTTGGCTTGGACAATATTGTTTAACAGCGAGAACACTTGTATAGGTTAAAAATTGGTTTTCAAATTGAAAACGGTTTTAAAGGTTCCGAATGAAATAAATTGTCCGTTATCGTGAGATCATTAATGAAACGTATCTCTTGTACAAACCATTCTTTATAGAATATTCAGGTATTTCCTATTTATATGTTCTCGTTATACAATATGTATTGTGCTAGGATATCTTTGTCATTTATACACTCGGCGTGGGTGTTATCTATGAATATCCTTGAAGGTCCTTGTACTATATATTATTTATCTTGGTAATCATTTGTAATCTTAACGTCTTGCGGGTAATTTCGAATGCATTATTGGGCCCAGAACGAGGTATATTTAAGAAGAAGAATGGACACCACTTTGATGTCGATTTTGATGCTCTACGTACCATTGGTGTTTTGCGCATGTATTTTTTGTAGTATTTTGGGATATTTTATACCCCCATCTAATGTTTCAGACATGGAGACCAAATGCACATGAGTGTTTCACATTTTCGAAATGCATTATCATAATTCAAGCTTATCATTTTGTCGAGATCAGTACTGATTTCCAAGTAGATCGAACCTATCTTGCCTCCAATCCAGGTTCCATTCTTGACATAGTTTTATGCTGGAGCACTTTTTTATCCTTTCAAAAGTATCTTTTGTTTTGTCTACGTTAACTTTTAAACCAGAAAATCTAGCATAGAAATGAGATACTGTACTACAGTATAGAGTCAGCGTTCTGGAGGGTCTAGAGAACAAGTTGTGTCATCTGCAAGCTGTGAGAGTAAATATTCAATCTAAAGATATAGGGAGACAAAGGGTCACCTTGTCTGCAACTACTACACATGATTGAATTTCGTTGTAAAAGGTTTTTATCCATCTTCTTATAGAGTTTCCAAAACCAAAAATGTTGAGTGTTTCGTCTATGAATTACCAATCAACTGCATCAAATGCCTTTTCAAAATCTACAAGTAATAATAAACCTGATATCTGATAGGTACCTGTGTAGTCCAGTAGATCATAGATTTGTACACTTATAGTGTGTGAATTGCTTAAGATGCATCAATAGTGTGATGGTGTGTGTAGTTACCCCAAAAGTGTGTTATAGTGTGTGTAGTTACACTAATAGTGTGTTATAGTGTGTGTAGTTACACTAATCGTGTGTTATAATGTGTGAATCAATGTAGTTACACTAATAGTGTGTTATAGTGTGTGAATCGCTGTAGTTACACTTATAGTGTGTGTAATTACACTAATAGTGTGTTATAGTGTGTGAATCGTTGTAGTTACATTAATAGGGTGTTATAGTATGTGTAATTACACTAATGTTGTGTTATAGTGTGTGAATCGTTGTAGTTACATTAATAGTTTGTTATAGAGTGTGTGATTACACTAATAGTGTGTTATAGTGTGTGAATCGTTGTAGTTACATTAATAGTGTGTTAAAGTGTGTGTAATTACACTAATAATGTGTTATAGTGTGTGAATCGCTGTAGTTACGCTAATAGTGTGTTAAAGTGTGTGTAATTACACTAATAATGGTTATAGTGTGTGAATCAATGTAGTTACACTAATAGTGTGTTATAGAGTGTGTAGTTACACTAATAGTGTGTGAATCGATGTAGTGTGTAATGATGTGTGTAGTTACCCTTATAGTGTGTCTTAGTGTGTGTAGTTACGCTTATAGTGTTGTAGTGTGTGTAGTTACGCCAATAGTGTGTTATTGTGTGTATAGTTACACTAATAGTGTGTTATAGTGTGTGAATCGCTTTAGTTGCACTAATAGTGTGTGATGGTCTGCTTGTCTCTACTAATCAAACACGCTGACTTAAGTATGAACATACCGGTATTTTTGAAGCAGCCGGAAAAGACGACGACGAGGCGCTACGATACTACTCTGCATCGCTCTATGAACGTCGGAAGTATGCTGACGTGGCTCCTGGCGACCTCGTTGTGGTGCTCAACAACGTTGCTATGCAACACTCAGTAGATCGAACCTATCTTGCCTCCAATCCAGGTTCCATTCTTGACATAGTTTTATGCTGGAGCACTTTTTTATCCTTTCAAAAGTATCTTTTGTTTTGTCTATGTTAACTTTTAAACCAGAAAATCTAGCATAGAAATGAGATACTGTACTACAGTATAGAGTCAGCGTTCTGGAGGGTCTAGAGAACAAGTTGTGTCATCTGCAAGCTGTGAGAGTAAATATTCAATCTAAAGATATAGGGAGACAAAGGGTCACCTTGTCTGCAACTACTACACATGATTGAATTTCGTTGTAAAAGGTTTTTATCCATCTTCTTATAGAGTTTCCAAAACCAAAAATGTTGAGTGTTTCGTCTATGAATTACCAATCAACTGCATCAAATGCCTTTTCAAAATCTACAAGTAATAATAAACCTGATATCTGATAGGTACCTGTGTAGTCCAGTAGATCATAGATTTGTACACTTATAGTGTGTGAATTGCTTAAGATGCATCAATAGTGTGATGGTGTGTGTAGTTACCCCAAAAGTGTGTTATAGTGTGTGTAGTTACACTAATAGTGTGTTATAGTGTGTGTAGTTACACTAATCGTGTGTTATAATGTGTGAATCAATGTAGTTACACTAATAGTGTGTTATAGTGTGTGAATCGCTGTAGTTACACTTATAGTGTGTGTAATTACACTAATAGTGTGTTATAGTGTGTGAATCGTTGTAGTTACATTAATAGGGTGTTATAGTATGTGTAATTACACTAATGTTGTGTTATAGTGTGTGAATCGTTGTAGTTACATTAATAGTTTGTTATAGAGTGTGTGATTACACTAATAGTGTGTTATAGTGTGTGAATCGTTGTAGTTACATTAATAGTGTGTTAAAGTGTGTGTAATTACACTAATAATGTGTTATAGTGTGTGAATCGCTGTAGTTACGCTAATAGTGTGTTAAAGTGTGTGTAATTACACTAATAATGGTTATAGTGTGTGAATCAATGTAGTTACACTAATAGTGTGTTATAGAGTGTGTAGTTACACTAATAGTGTGTGAATCGATGTAGTGTGTAATGATGTGTGTAGTTACCCTTATAGTGTGTCTTAGTGTGTGTAGTTACGCTTATAGTGTTGTAGTGTGTGTAGTTACGCCAATAGTGTGTTATTGTGTGTATAGTTACACTAATAGTGTGTTATAGTGTGTGAATCGCTTTAGTTGCACTAATAGTGTGTGATGGTCTGCTTGTCTCTACTAATCAAACACGCTGACTTAAGTATGAACATACCGGTATTTTTGAAGCAGCCGGAAAAGACGACGACGAGGCGCTACGATACTACTCTGCATCGCTCTATGAACGTCGGAAGTATGCTGACGTGGCTCCTGGCGACCTCGTTGTGGTGCTCAACAACGTTGCTATGCAACACTCAAAACGAGGCAACCATGGTATGATTGTTTTTTTATCGTTTTGCACTGAAACAGTTTAACCGTAGCATATCTCATGACCACCCGATCCCGTTAGTCGCCTCTGACGATGAGCATAGTCGCCTTTTACGGCAAGCATGTGTTGCTGAAGACCTATTCAGCCCCGCATCTTAACGGGTCCGTTCGGCATGTAAAAGGCCTTACATCTCACATATTTAACCAATTTTCAAAACGAATTTACAAGTTGCAGATTTGTAGATTGGAGATTTATTTTCGGTGAAATATGTGTGTATGTGTGTATATCATTTAGAGAACTTGTGGCCGCCATCAGACTTTGAGAACTCAAAGAGCAGACTGGGTCTGCTGTGACGTGACAAGTAAATGACGTCATTATGACGTCAGGTTTTCCGAACAGGTTGGCCGGCCAATGAGATAGTTTTATTCATTTACTGTATTCAAAAGCGTCTGTCTTGTTTGTTATTTTCCGCTCCCCAGAGAGACGTTCTATCCAGTAGACCACAAAGACGGTCATCTTATCCAGAATTTGTTACAGGATGAGATTGTAGCCGACTGCGGCGTTACACTACATTCAGTCACCTAACCACGGCAATTATTATCTTGTATCTGCTCTGTCCATAGACTACGCCCTTCAGCTTTTGTCAGAGGCGAGAGACATCAGGATGAAGCTGGACAGGATCAACTACCATACGGCCCTCACGTGTTGGAATATGGGACAGGTGTACGCTAGAAAGTAAGTAATGGCCTCATACTTGGTTCGAATCCCAGAAGGGGGTACGGGTGACCCAGTCGCCTACGGCGCCGCAATTGGCCGTGCGGAGTTGCGTCCCTTGGGCACGCGAGAAACCTATAATCATGGATTATGTTTTGAGGTTTGTCAGCACAATGCCCATGCTCGTGGGTTTCACCAAAGTGATAAACGTCTGCGATATTCATCCCTTCGGGCTTTCCTACCAAATTAAGCTGACACGCGGTGATCAAACTGGACTAATGTTCAAAGCGGCGTTAAACCTAACTCACCCACTCGATATTTTCTGTGCCAGATTATATATATTTATAAAACCCATCATAATTTAATTATTAATTATCATTTTATCTATATTTCACAGATGTTACTTTGAAAATGCACTGTTGGAAGTACGAGATGCTCTGGAGATCTTCAAGAAGTGCACCAAGTCTCACTTCGTCATTGTGGAGGTTCTGTTTCTGGCGACACATCTGGCTGCAGCCCTGGGTCACTATGAGGATGCGGAGGAGTACCTCAAGGAAGCAGTGGCATTCGAGGACAAGTACCGTGAACATCTCCCAACTGGGGCTCACACACTGATGGTCCTTCAGCATCTTCTCATGGTCTACCTGGGCTGGAAGAGGAAGAGCTCCCCTGTCCTTGACAGAGCTGTAGCTGAAGCAAACCGGCTCGCCGAGCTGAGCAGGAACACAGAAGCAATGGACAAACACGTGTCCTACTTGCGCCAGACGGCGGCTCTGTATAGAGTCAGAGCATCACTCGACCAACAGACGGTCTCCAATGAGATGTTGGAAGAAGTATTGACCGAGATGAGCGGGTTTTGTTTTGTGTGTGAAGACCTGAACTCAAGAAATGTGGACATGGTCAGTGTGTTTCGTAGAATGTCAACAACTGTGACTGGGGCTTTGGCCAGCTTTGAGACTTTACTCAGATCAGAGGCTATGACAACTGCTGTAGATTTGCTTAAAAAAGTCTCAGGAAGATCTGAGAGTCCACCAAGTTCTCCTACTGTATCCGACCCTCCAGCCTTCTCGTTTGACAAACTACGTGGGCAGTATCAAGAGAGCAGTATTGCCTCACCATATTACTACGAACAAGAAAGCTGTCAACATGCAAAGGAAGACAGGCACAACTGTACAATGCAGACACCCAATTCGGCTACTGAGACAAGTAATGCTTACATCCCCCAATGTCCAACTGAAACCAATCCCCACTGTTATACGAGAGTGTCACCAGAGGAGAGCAGACCGTACTCCATCAATCACGAGTTCCCTTTTGGGCAAGTACGCCCTGGCAGCTTCATGGGGTCGGTTCCTAAACGAGGTGATTCCTCTCAAGAGAAAACCTCTGGTTCGTTAGGGGTAGATATAAATATGCTAAACAGAGATACCTCCACGGCCGTTGAGGACAGCAAGGGCAGGATGCATCAAGCGGCTGCATGTAAACTTGAAAAAATGAAGGAACTTGATGACTCTTTTCGATGCTCATCCCCGAAGCCCAACGACCGGTGTTCATTTGATCCTAGTCTTAGATATCCCCCGAACTTCAACTTCCCAACTATTGATCATTGGCAGTCGAATGATTCCGACACATCAGCATCTCAGATACCCTCCTGGAAAACCACCCATCACAACACAGTTGACGGTTCGCTGAAAACTAGTCTCCCTCAGAGTCACTTCCACAACAGATATAAAGAGGCTCTTACCCATTTACAGAATTCCAAAATTGCGGAGGAGAATGTTCCCCGACAAGCTTCCTCAATGGACAGACCAGGCCGTGTCATCGGTGGTGGAATCCTGCATGGTGGAATTGGGGGCAGTAGGGTTGCAGCAGCTTATGATAGACAAGTACAGAAGCGTATGTCATCATCTCCGAGTTCCAGCTCGTCCGGCGTGTGCAGCAGGAGTGCCTCGGAACACGACGAGAGAAGGCACGAGAACACAGCCTATTGCACTCAGGCAGGCTGTTTGTGTTCCCTGAAACACCGGAAGTAGCCACCAGTGCATAGCAGCTGTATCCGTGTCACGAGTGAAGTGAAACTTCAATTACTGTTATCTCACACTGAACATTCACTCGAAGATCTGTGTTGTTAATCCTGCTGGAAGTGTAACTTCAATCGCTGTTATCTGACAACAGACATTCACTCGAAGATCTGTGTTGTTAATCCTGCTGGAAGTGTAACTTCAATCGCTGTTATCTGACAACAGACATTCACTCGAAGATCTGTGTTGTTAATCCTGCTGGAAGTGTAACTTCAATCGCTGTTATCTGACAACAGACATTCTTTGAAGATATGTGCTGTTAATCCTGCTGGAAGTGTAACTTCAATCGCTGTTATCTGACAACAGACATTCATTGAAGATATGTGCTGTTAATCCTGCTGGAAGTGTAACTTCAATCGCTGTTATCTGACAACAGACATTCATTGAAGATATGTGCTGTTAATCCTGCTGGAAGTGTAACTTCAATCGCTGTTATCTGACAACAGACATTCATTGAAGATATGTGCTGTTAATCCTGCTAGAAGTGTCACTTCAATCACTGTTATCTCACACTAAACATTCACTCGAAGATCTGGTCTGTTAATCCTTCTGGAAGTGTAACTTCAATCACGGTTGTCTTTTACTAAACATTCACTTGAAGATCTGTGCTGATAATCTTATCAGAAGTGTAACTTCAATCGCTGTTATCTCACACTAAACATTCACTCGAAGATCTGTGCTGTTAATCCAGCTGGAAGTGTAACTTCAATTTCTGTAATCTCGCAATGATCATTCACTCGAAGATCTGTGCCGTTAATTTTACTGGAAGTTTTAACTTCAATTACTGTTATCTCGTAGTAATCATTCACTCGAAGGTGTGTGATGTTAATCTTGCTGGAAGTGAAACTTCAATTACTGTTATCTCCCAATAACCATTCCCTCGAAGATCTGTGCTGTTAATCCTGCTGAAAGTGAAACTTCAATTACTGTTATCTCGCAATAATCATTCACTACGAAGATGTGTGCTGTTAATCCTGCTGGAAGTGTAACTTCAATTACTGTTATCTCACACTAAACATTTACTCGAAGGTGTGTGATATTAATCTTGCTGGAAGTGAAACTTCAATTACTGTTATCTCGTAATAATCATTCACTCAAAGGTGTGAGCTGTTAATTTTACTGGAAGTGTTACTTCAATCACAGTTATCTCACACTAAACATTCACTCGAAGATCTGTGCTGTTAATCCTGCTGGAAGTGAAACTTCAATTACTGTTATCTCGCAATAATCATTCACTCGAAGATCTGTGCTGTTAATCCTGCTGGAAGTGTAACTTCAATTACTGTTATCTCGCAATAATCATTCACTACGAAGATGTGTGCTGTTAAACCTGCTGGAAGTGTAACTTCAATTACTGTTATCTCACACTAAACATTTACTCGAAGGTGTGTGATATTAATCTTGCTGGAAGTGAAACTTCAATTACTGTTATCTCGTAATAATCATTCACTCAAAGGTGTGAGCTGTTAATTTTACTGGAAGTGTTACTTCAATCACAGTTATCTCACACTAAACATTCACTCGAAGATCTGTGCTGTTAATCTTGCTGGAAGTGAAACTTCAATTACTGTTATCTCCCAATAACCATTCCCTCGAAGATCTGTGCTGTTAATCCTGCTGAAAGTGAAACTTCAATTACTGTTATCTCGCAATAATCATTCACTACGAAGATGTGTGCTGTTAATCCTGCTGGAAGTGTAACTTCAATTACTGTTATCTCACACTAAACATTTACTCGAAGGTGTGTGATATTAATCTTGCTGGAAGTGAAACTTCAATTACTGTTATCTCGTAATAATCATTCACTCAAAGGTGTGAGCTGTTAATTTTACTGGAAGTGTTACTTCAATCACAGTTATCTCACACTAAACATTCACTCGAAGATCTGTGCTGTTAATCCTGCTGGAAGTGAAACTTCAATTACTGTTATCTCGCAATAATCATTCACTCGAAGATCTGTGCTGTTAATCCTGCTGGAAGTGAAACTTCAATTACTGTTATCTCGCAATAATCATTCACTCGAAGGTGTGTGATGTTAATCTTGCTGGAAGTGAATCTTCAATTTCTGTTACCTCTCAATAATCATTCACTCGAAGATGTGTGATGTTAATCCTGCTGGAAGTGAAACTTCAATTACTGTTTTCTCGCAATAATCATTCACTCAAAGATGTGTGCTGTTAATCCTGCTGGAAGTGTAACTTCAATTACTGTTATCTCACACTAAACATTCACTCAAAGGTGTGTGATATTAATCTTGCGAGAAGTGAAACTTCAATTACTGTTATCTCGCAATAATCATTCACTACGAAGATGTGTGCTGTTAATCCTGCTGGAAGTGTAACTTCAATTACTGTTATCTCACACTAAACATTTACTCGAAGGTGTGTGATATTAATCTTGCTGGAAGTGAAACTTCAATTACTGTTATCTCGTAATAATCATTCACTCAAAGGTGTGAGCTGTTAATTTTACTGGAAGTGTTACTTCAATCACAGTTATCTCACACTAAACATTCACTCGAAGATCTGTGCTGTTAATCTTGCTGGAAGTGAAACTTCAATTACTGTTATCTCCCAATAACCATTCCCTCGAAGATCTGTGCTGTTAATCCTGCTGAAAGTGAAACTTCAATTACTGTTATCTCGCAATAATCATTCACTACGAAGATGTGTGCTGTTAATCCTGCTGGAAGTGTAACTTCAATTACTGTTATCTCACACTAAACATTTACTCGAAGGTGTGTGATATTAATCTTGCTGGAAGTGAAACTTCAATTACTGTTATCTCGTAATAATCATTCACTCAAAGGTGTGAGCTGTTAATTTTACTGGAAGTGTTACTTCAATCACAGTTATCTCACACTAAACATTCACTCGAAGATCTGTGCTGTTAATCCTGCTGGAAGTGAAACTTCAATTACTGTTATCTCGCAATAATCATTCACTCGAAGATCTGTGCTGTTAATCCTGCTGGAAGTGAAACTTCAATTACTGTTATCTCGCAATAATCATTCACTCGAAGGTGTGTGATGTTAATCTTGCTGGAAGTGAATCTTCAATTTCTGTTACCTCTCAATAATCATTCACTCGAAGATGTGTGATGTTAATCCTGCTGGAAGTGAAACTTCAATTACTGTTTTCTCGCAATAATCATTCACTCAAAGATGTGTGCTGTTAATCCTGCTGGAAGTGTAACTTCAATTACTGTTATCTCACACTAAACATTCACTCAAAGGTGTGTGATATTAATCTTGCGAGAAGTGAAATTTCAATTACTGTTATCTCCCAATAATCATTCTGTCGAAGATGTGTGCTGTTAATCCTGCTGGAAATGTAACTTGAATTACTGTTGTCTTGTACTACACATTCAATAGAAGACATGTGCTGTTAATTTTACTGGAAGTTTTAACTTCAATTACTGTTATCTGATATATGAGAGTGATACCGGTACAGCCGGATTTATACCTTCCATGACCTGCTTTATGTATAATCTTACATGTGAAGGATAAACATATCCTATATGTCTAATTATTGATTGAGGCGGTGTAACCTGACTGTTCTTCAGCAACCCATGCTTGTCGTAAGAGGCGACTAACGGGATCGGGTGGTCAGGCTCGTTGACTTGGTTGATGCATGTCATCGTATCCCAATTGCATAGATCGATGCTCAGTATGTCATATCACTGGATTGCCTGGTCCAGACGCGATTATTTACAGACTGTCATTATATAGCTGGAATATTGCTGATTGCGGCGTTAAACAAACAAACAAGCAAATAAGTTGACTGTATTTTGGAAGAAAGATCCTACTTCTGTCAGCCCCCGGAGCCTGATAAACCTGTTTCTTGAATGAACTTGAAATGAATTGAGTGCATTGAAAAGTGCATACTGCGAACCAAGGAAACCATTTGTGCCAATGACTCACGCAACTAAACTATCTAAACGTTTACGTGTGCCAGTGTCACGTGACACTGAAGCATCTAAGTCACGTGTGCCAATGACACGTGCGAAAAGAAGAACCCTGCAACTTGCGTCAGCAACGGGGCAAACTGAAGAGGTAAACAGGTAACCAACGAAGACGTGCAACGGTGACAGGTCCAACTTGTTTCAGCGACAGATCCAACTTGTTTCAGTGACAGATCCAACTTGTTTCAGTGACAGATCCAACTTGTTTCAGTTACAGATCCAACTTGTTTCAGTGACAGGTCCATCTTGTTTCAGTGACAGGTCCATCTTGTTTCAGTGACAGATCCAACTTGTTTCATTGACAGTTCCAACTTGTTTCAGTGACAGGTCCATCTTGTTTCAGTGACAGATCCAACTTGTTTCAGTGACAGATCCAACTTGTTTCAGTAACGTACGACTTGTCACAGATAGGTGCAGCTATGTAACCAATGCTTGCAAATTGTGCCGATCTCCCGTGCACCTGTTAAAGGGTACAACTTGACATGTGTGACAAGAGGGACTATAGAACAGGTCTTGCCCAAAATATATGTGCAAACAAGAACCCAAACGTGAAGGTATTTCATTGAAATGTGCAAGTTGTGTAGAATTGGCCACTAGGGTGATCACTGAGTTGTACGGTGTTGTCATGGTTACCAGTATCCAAGTGTTAATATATACGCAATACCATGTTGACAACGGGCATGTTCTAAGACGCTACGGGTGACTAGACACAGAACTGTCAAGCATGAGTTGAGAAAATATGTAGTCAGTTTTATAAACCTCTTGTGACGTCATCCTATTATTTTTTTCCAAAACACCCTCCTGTCCCTAGGTATTCTACAGAAAGCATTCCGGCCCAGTGGTGTTAGAAAATGTCCCTCGCTATAGATCTGTGTACATTTCAGATATATCTACTTCAGGTTATATGCAGAATGAATCAAAATCAAGCGACGAATGTCTTCTATATATTTCAGTTGAAATTGCAACATTCGTATTCGTAGCCAAGTGAGTGAAACACGTGGGTATAGAGACGCCTATCAATCACAATGCTTTCAAGAATCTCTTTTTAAAGAATATTTATTATGTCGGTCACTAAAGTTGATGGAAAGTGTGTTTGAAACAAAATGTGTTTATTGAAAGTGCTTAAAACAAAAAATTAATGATATATGTTGTTTCAGATTTTTCTCTATCACTGCTGTGTGTGTTTGCGTGCGTGTGTGCGTTCTTGTACTTGTCAGAACTTTTATAGTGCTAGCCCACTTAGATACCATGCCACAGCTTTAACATGGACACCCTACAGCAACCCATCCTTGCCGTAGTAGGCGACTATGCTTGTCGTAAGAGGCGACTAACGGGATCGGGTGGTCAGGCTCGCTGACTTGGTTGATGCATGTCATCGATCCCAATTGCGTGGATCGATGCTCATGATATCAATCACTGGATTGTCTGATCCAGACTCGAATATTTACATGTAGCTGGAATAGAGTGTGGCGTTAAACAAACAAACTTTTTGGAAATTGGTGAAATGTAACAAATGTTACACTTTCTGAGTAAGTACAGATTCTCGTACTTTTTGGGGTTGAGTCCCGTCCGGGATTCGAACCCACACTGCCAGAGTGTGGCACCTAATCGCCAGCACACAACAAAGTCAGCGATCTAATCCACTCACCCACCGAGGCTTTCACAAAATGAAAGAACGACATCTGGTAGTCTTGATCACGTACTTTGTTTACCCTTCTGTAAATTAGCACGGCTCCCATGGCCCAAAGCTATAAACACACCATGCCTTTTAGAAAGTGGTCAAATGTAACAAATGCTATATTTGGGATAACACTTTATGAGTAAAGTACAGATTCTCGTACTTAGGGGGCGGTCGGGTAGCCTAGTGGTTAAAGCGTTCGCTCGTCAAGCCGAAGACCCAGGTTCGATTCCTGACATGGGTACAATGTGTGAAGCCCATTCCTGGTGTCCCCCGCCGTGATATTGCTGGAATATTGCTAAAAGTGGCGTAAAACGATACTCACTCACTCATTCACTCACTCACTCGTACTTAGGTGTCTCACTCAGGCGGTTGGGGTTTGAATCCCGGACGGGTGTCAACCCCAAAACGTACGAGAATCTGTACTTTACTCAGAAAGTGTTATACCAAATATAACATTTGTTGCACAGTTTAATGAATACTCAGACAGCCCGTCATTATCTTCACGATCACCGACCTTTCCCTCTTCGGACAGACGCTCTATCCACTTGACCTCATTTCGAAAACAGGATTTGACATTTAAAAGAAATATCAAAGTGAATTTGATATCGAGCGACATAAGGGTCACGACTGGCGCCTGATTGTGTGTGCAATGCGATAGTGACGTAAACTGTTGAAACTAGCTTGTGAATCGGGTTCAAACAATGGTTCCTATCGATGCTGTCCGAGATGTTTGTTTGTTTGTTTGATGTTCAACGCCGCATTAGCTATAAAACGGCGGTCTGTAAATAATCGAGTCTGGACCAGACAATCCACTGATTGACATCGTGAGCATCGATCCACGCAATTGGAGTACGATGACATGCTTCAACCAAGTCAGCGAGCCTGACCACCCGATCCTGTTAGTCGCCTCTTACCACAAGCATAGTCACCTTGTCCGAGATGTCCTTGATAAGCGGGGTGAACGTCTCATCACAATATATTGTCCCCCAGATCGATGGCGCTAACAATTGTCGTTGGTTTGGACGTTAAAGTTTTGCAACTTTAATATAAGGCCAAGTCGCAGAATATCTTTTGCACTTTTATTTTTCAATATAATCTCGATTCACCTCAATACGCTTATTCCATTTGTCCTTCAAGCTTTTAATACCACTTTTATAGAAATCCGCGGATTGGCCCGCTAACCATGCCTCAGTGGCAGCCTTTATGTCCTCCTCATCCTGGAAGCGTCTTCCACGTAGGGCAGATTTCATTTGCCGGAACAGGAAAGTCACTGGGGGCTAAGTCTGGGCTGTAGGATGGGTGACTTACCTGTTCGAATCCACATTTACATATGGCGGCCTGTGCAATTCTCGACTTGTCAACCGGAGCGTTGTCATGCGAAAGTAGAATACCACGTGTTAACATCCCACGGCGTTTCTGGCGAATAGATTTTCGCAATTCTGTCATTACATTAGCATAATACTGTCCATTGATTGTAGTTTTTGGTGGCATGTAATCAATGAGTATTTTGCCTCTTGCATCCCAAAATATGGTGGCCATTACCTTGCCAGCCGATGGCTGAGTGTGAAACTTCCTCCGAGGAGGAGATTTGGGGTTTCTGGGTCCCAGTGGTGGATCCATGTTTCATCACCTGTCATTAGACGAGAAAGATATCCGGCTTCATCAGCGGTATAGAGATCCAGGAGATCTCGACAACTTTCAGTTCTCTGATGGCGATCTTGAGCTCTGAGGTTTCTAAGTACCCATCTTGCAGATGAATAATGGTTACAACAGTTCCAACTGATATTTGGAATCCCCTAGAAAGTTAAGATACTTTTATTCGTCGGTCGGACAAAAATTCATCTTTCTATAGAAGCAATGGTTTCTGTTTGGGTGGCATCTGAAGGCCCGCCTGACCTTGGGTCATCGTCTATGGACTCCCTAACCCTTTTAAACTGTAGAGATGAAACTGTGGTATAGTTAGGAGCATCCTCACCCATTACTTTACACATTGCGATCATGGATTTCTTTTGCTTTACATCCCTCCTTGGTAAAGGGGGGCACGGGTGGCCCAGTCGTCTGAGGCGCCGCGATTCGCTGTGCAGAGTTGCGTCCCTTGGGTCACTAGAAACATGATTGTGGGTTCGAATTCCGGTTCTCCCCAATTATGTTTCTAGGTTTGTCAGCACCATACCCGTGCTCATGGGTTTCACCGAAGTTGTAAACGTCTTAGACCTGCATCACTTCGGGCTTTCCTCCCACATTAAGCTGACACGCCGTGATATAACTGGAATACTGTTAAAAGCGGTGTTAAACCCAACTCACTCACTCACTCCTTGGTAAGGAACTTTATTACATCGCGTTGTTCATGTTTGAGAGAATTCATGATTCGTGATCCTTAGGTGAATGAAGCCATCACAACTTATTGTGTCCGGAACTTGTTATGACACGTGTCAACCTGATGTTATGACTAGTGTCACACCTGCCACAAGTTGACATTGTTTGTGTAAACACAAATGCCCAAGTTGCAAAATTATTTAACGCCCCGCGTACCAATGTGTGCTCCTGTTGATAAAGGGTACCTTATTACCTCTATTCGACGCCTATATAGGTGTGGCGCAAAATTCACGCCATCCGAGGCATCAAACGGCACAAAAAAAGCCCCAATATAAACAACTCAACTAACCCCACCCAAAAGGCCAACAACCTAGCCAAACACTTCTCTAAAGTTAGTAGCAACAGTAACTTCAGTAAGAAATTCCAAGATAAACTAAATAAAGAAATAAAATTCTCCAAAGAAATCAGACAAGACAACCTAGAAATAAATCAACCTTACACCATAGAAGAACTAAATCACGTACTAAACAATAGAAAAAAAGGAACAGCCCCTGGCCTAGACCTCACCTCTTACCAAATAATCAAACACTTACCGACCAAACTACTCCAAACTTTACTTAAACTATACAACCTAGTTTACCTAAACGGACAGGTCCCATCCTCATGGAAGGAAGCTCTAGTAATCCCAATACCTAAACCAAATAAACCAGCAGATCAGGCAAACTCCTATAGGCCCATATCCCTAACCTCAAATCTCTGCAAAATAATGGAACTTTTGACTAAAAATAGGCTACAGCACTACCTAGACCAAAACAACATCATAAACCCCGACCAAAGCGGCTTCACTCCTGGCCGATCGACTCTCGATAACCTTGCCCGACTAGAACAGGATATAAAAACAGGACAGCTAAACAAGCAATACACCATAGGCATATTCCTCGACTTCTCTAAAGCTTTCGATATGGTATGGCACCACGGGCTAATACAAAAACTAAAAAAAATAGGACTAAAAGGCCAAATAATAAACTTCATCCAAGATTTCCTAAACAATCGCAAAATTACCGTGGGTATAGACCATACGCTATCGGACCAGTGTCCCCTAGAAAATGGCACTCCCCAGGGCAGCATTCTCAGCCCAACCCTCTTCAATATAATGATAAATGATCTATTCGAGGACTTATCCCCTAAACTAAACACTTCAAAATTCGCGGATGATGGAGCCCTATGGATCCGCACTAAAAGCATTAAAATGGCAGAAAACTTAATCCAAAAATCTCTAAATAAAATACAACAATGGGCAGACAAATGGGGCTTCTCCCTTAACTCAGATAAAACAACAGGAGTAGTATTCAAACATAAAAACATGAAACCTGCCTACCCAATCCTCCAGCTAAACAACCAAACAATCAAATTCCAAAAACAAACCAAATTCTTAGGACTTATTTTCGATCAACACCTCACCTGGGAGGCTCACGTCCAAAACCTAAAAACTAGATGCAGCAAAGACCTTAACACATTAAGATGTCTCACCGGCTCCAACTGGGGAGCCTCCAAAGATACCCTCCTCTCACTATATACAACACTAATTAGATCAAAACTAGACTACGGCTGCGCCATATACAATACCCTAAACAACTCTCTAACTAAAAAACTTGACTCAATACAATACCAAGCCCTTAAACTAATTACACGCACCCAACATGGCACCTCCTACACCTCACTTCAGGCCCTTACAGGAGAAATGCCACTAAATCTACGCAGGGAACATCTAAGCCTTAATTTCTGGGCCGCGTCCCAAACAAACCCTCTCATCCAAAACCTAATTAACCAAAACATTAGCCCAAGAAACCAAGCTCTAGCTCGCAAACACCCCTTACTCACCCCAATATCCCAAAGAATAACTAACTACCTCAATGAACACCAAACTCAAAATCTTAAACAAAACTGCAAAAAATCAAATATCTTCACCCCTAAACTCAAAATACCCCAAATAGACACAACGCTAACTAACCAAATAAATAAACAAACCGACCCAAACATAGCTAAAACCACCACACTTTCATACATACACGAAAATTGGCCAAATTGGTGTCACATATACACTGACGGATCTTCAGACCCGATCTCCAACCACACAGGTTTCGGAG